GGTGTCGGGCCGGTGGGGATGCGGATAAGGATTGTAGAGGAGTGCCGCATGGAAGAGGGCATATCCCCAGAGTGACCGTTGTGCGTTGGCGTGAGTGAGGAGGTAGCGAGCGATCTGAACCAAGGTGTGGTTGCGGCTCTCTGCAATGCCATTCTGCTGCGGGCTTTCGGGGAGCGTGAAGGTTTGCCGAATCCCTTGGGCCGCACAGAAGTTATCGAGTTTGCCATTGCGAAATTCTCCCCGCCATCAGAATGGAGGCAATTCAGAGGAGTGCCGAACGTGACTTGAGCCTGGCGCACCCACGCCATGATGACATCAGGTGCCTCCGCCTTGGTATGCAGGAGGTGCACAGAAACATACCGCGAGTGGTCATCGACTAGTGTAAGAAAGTAACCGATGACCGCCTTGGGATGCGACTGGAGCTGGGCCCCAGACATCCATGTGCACTAGGTCCAGCGGAGCAGCTGCGACGGATGGGGAGGAAGGGTGCGGCTGCTGCCTGAGCTTGCTCTTGGTGCAGTCCAGGCAGGTGGGTGCAGGTGAGTCTGTTGGTGGAGGAAGCGCCGACGGGAGGCCAAGAAGAAGTTTCTTGGAAGCGATGTCGGCAAGTGTACGGAAGTTGGGGTGACCCAAGCGATGGTGGTAGAGGATGGTTGGGTTGGCGAAGTTGCGACACGAACACGGAGTGGTGCTGGCAGCTTGTGCTTGGGAGAGGGCGGCGAGAGGTGCAGGTGAACGCAGCGTGTAGAGCTGTTACTGTTGAGCGTGAAGCGTGCTAGGAGCTTGTTGGACTTAGGGTCGAAGAGGTTACAGTGATCCGAGTGTGCTGGGAAGATCGTGGTGACGCCTGCCTGTTGGAGCTCGTGTTGGGCCACGAGATTGTGGCGTAGTGTGGGAACACACATGCCGGTGACACTGCCCGAAGGAAAAGCTGGGCACGGAACTGTGGAGGAGCCCTTGGCGTGCGTTGTGAAACTAGAGTCTGCTCCAAGTAGACGATTGGTGTCTCGTATGGCTTGAAGGAGTGTTCTTCCTTGAGAACCGTGTGAGTGGCCCCACTGTCGAGGGTGAACTCTATTGTGGCTGAGGTGCTTTGTGAGCCAGGATACTGCGAAATCGTCTCATTAATCATGGCAGTGCCAAAGAACATTATGTTGAGGCGCACATCAGCAGGTGCAGCCACAGCAGCCTGCACGGATTCCTGCGCTTCGACTTGATTGACTTGGCGAGGAGCACGATTGACCATCCAGCTTGGCGGCTTGGAGGCGGTCCCATTGACGGCATACCACTCATCATCCTTCTTCTTAAAGCAGGAGGCAAGGCCGTGGTTGGTGCCGCCACACACCTGGCCAGCACGAGGGCCGCGCTTGATGACGTAGGGACACGGGGGAAGCGGTTGCGCTGGAATGGCGCCGAAGCGGCATAGGCTTGAGGCACGGGAGCGCGGATTGCATTGGCTTGAGCGCTGTTGTTCTTTACGGCAGAAAGGAGCGCGGATGAGACCTTGGCAAATGTGAGGTCTGCAGGAGCAAGATGCTCTTGGGCCTTCCATCCCTCTGCCTCAGATTCCAGTCTCTTCGTTCGTCACTCCTCCGAGCCCTTCTACATCCTCGTCTACTTGGCGATTTTATTCTAGCCGCCAGAGATCCAGCCGACATGGCAGCTGTCCAGTCTGCTCTCAGCTCCGCCCTTCTCATGAAGGATCTTGGTGACCTCAAGAACTACCTGGGGATGGAGATCACTCGTGACCGCCAGGCTTGCACGATCACCCTCTCCCAGGAGTCCTACATCGACAACCTTCTCAAGCGGTTTGACATGGACTCCAACTCTGTCTCCACTCCACTCCCACTACAGCATCAGCTCACGGCCCCTCCAGTTCCTTCTCCTGACGCCTGCAAGGACCCGTACCCTGAGCTAGTCGGTTCCCTCATGTATGCCATGATGTGCACTCGACCAGACTTGGCTTACCCGGTTAGTGTCCTCTCTCGGTACGTCTCCCCCGGACGCTACACTGCCTCGCATTGGTCTGCAGCCAAGAGGGTCCTCCGCTATCTACAAGCCACCAAGTCTCACATCCTCACTCTTGGTGGTACCTCTCCAGTCAAGCTCGAGGGATACACAGACTCCTCATGGGCCGATGACCAGACTGACAGACGCTCCTCCCAAGGGTACTGCTTCACCCTTGGTAGCGGAGTCATCAGCTGGCGCTCCACTCGGTCCTCTGCAGTCTCCCTGTCGTCCTGCGAGGCCGAGCTCTACGCGGGCACAATGGCTGCTCAAGAGGCACGCTGGCTCTCCTTTCTCCTCGCTGAGTTAGGCTACCCCCAGCAGTCGCCCACCCTGTGGTGTGACAACCAGAGTGCCATTCATCTCACCAAGGATCCTGTGTTCCACTCTCGCACCAAGCACATCGAACTTCGTCATTTCTTCATCCGAGATCTTGTTCAGAGTGACCAGCTGACGGTACGGTACATCGCCTCAGATTGCAACCTCGCCGACCTCTTTACCAAGGCTCTCGGCAAGGCTGACCACCATCGCCTTCTCCGTTCCATGGGGCTATGTGCTCCTTGACCGGGTTTGCAGTCTATGGGGGGTGTTAGAAATAGACTGCAAATACCACTTTTGTATTTGTACTTTTATATCCTAGTTTAGGTAATGAATGTTCTAGTGGGTTGGGGTGTACTCACAAATCCCAACCTCACCCAATTGTGATCCCCCAATCTCCAATTACCCAATTGGAGATTCCGGAGATCCCAATGGGGATTCCCTCAAATTCCCCCTTCATCCATTCTCTCTCACCTTGCCATGTACGTATAGAGCCTTGGGCTCCTTACCTAATCAATCATTTCAACTCTATTTCTTACATATACCATATCAAAGTAGAGCATGGAAAAGTTGATTAGGAAGAGAGGGAGGTGAAAGGGGAGTGTTTTCCCCTTTAAGAGTTGTCCTAGCTAGGTTATAACAAACATATCTAACCTAGCAAGATATACAAATATGTTTGTTGACACTTTGTACTTGTTAGTCTATACCGGCTGTCTTGATATACCTGCTAACTAGCCTTCTGGCCCTTGTCTAAGTGGTCAGACTAGTTGTGCTGCCTTGAGCTGTTTTGTTACATACTCCAGAGGCCAGACTAAGGGCGTGTAACATCCGTGTCCGAACTTGGGCAAAATTTAAACAGAGAGGCATGTTACAATTTTCGCACATTTCGTCAACCATCTCGCATGTTCGCAAAAATTGTCGCAGAATATGGGATAGTTGGAGGATTCATACCGTTCGAATGGAGTCATTCGAACTTTCAGACATACAGTTTTAATGACGCTCACCCCTTGTAACAATTTTCCAGGCGAAAACCAGCGAAACCAAAAAACTGTCAGGGGCTCACGCACGACAACATTGCGACAATCGTCGACCCCAAACCAAGCCCCGACCTCCCTCTCAACAATTGCGAAGCTGCGACAGAGAGGTTTGGTTGATTCCCACCACAATTTCTAGCAGTGCTTTAGGCTTGGGAGTCAAGAACCCGAAGCGGCTTTTCGTACGGGTGGGGGTGGTTGCAACGGTTACGAGAAGTGCTCATTGTTGCATTTTGTCGACGTTGTTCGAACACTCAACATCTAAAGTTGGGTCCTGAAGGAACATGTGCATGCCTCTATGAATTTGCGCTGGTTTGTGTTGTTGTACGAATACCCCAGCAGGCTGTTCGTACACCTTCATAGTTCGAAATCGTTCGAATTTCGAGGTACCTCAGCCAATGACACGAGCCCAAGTAGTGCTGCCCTGGAATACTATTTCTTGTTAGGCTCTGTCCCTACCCAGGCTAGGGATGTGTTAGTGTATATATATACAGTATTTAAGGAAATTATTTGCTGTAGCCTAGCTAGGAGTAGTTCATATTGAGTACAACACTTAGGCATATTCCTGTTCCCACCTTTGCCCTAATCAACTTTTCTCTCGACAGAGATCTCCATGTTCCTGCTCCATGCGATCTCGTTTGGAGTGTAGCTGCTCCAAATCGTGCAATAGCTGCAACTTACTTCCTGCTGCCACTTGATTCTCACCAGTGCTTGGAGTGGAAAACGTAGAAGGTTGCACGATGGCCTTCTTTGGATGGGCGTTGGCATTGTGGTGTTGCGAACTCAGTCATCACTACAGGTATTTTTTTTAATTAAGATATCCGGATAGTGGATATGTCGCAACTCAGGACGTTCCCCCTCTCCCCCCTGCCTGCGAAAAATGCTTGTCGCAACAGTAAAATGCTCGGCTTGAGGGCGTTAGCTATGAATACCAAGTGTTATTTGGTGCAAACATTGAGAATCATAACTGGTATTATCGAGGAAGAGAGTACAATAGGCAACATCTAAACAACCCTTGAGATATGATATAGCTAGGCACAAAGTACACGGTCTAGGCTTGGTACACGGTCGAGTATGTCGAGAGACCCGTTGGGGTTGCCCTTGAGATCCTTAAAGGCCTCTATGCCTGGGGGGTTATGGGCGCACGAACCTGTTACTTAACAAGCCTTTTAGCTCAGCGGTTAGTGACTGAGTTGTGACATGGTATCAAACCAAGTGACCTGGGTTCAATTCCCGGTGCCTTGCCAGCGCTGCAGAGGCGCTTGTGTCCTGGCCTATCCAGCAAGGGGGTGTCGAGGGACCTGCTGGGGTTGCCCTTGATGTTCTCGAGGAAAGCCATAGGCCTCTATGCCTGGGAGTTATGGGCACACTTGTTGGTTAGAGAAGGCTATAAGCAGATGATTCAATGGCTCCTTGGAAATTTCTGCAGCACTTCGTTATGACGCCCAGAAAACTCGCGACCTTCGAATAGCTATATCAAAAACTCCAATCGGTGAAACGATCTGAAAATCGGATATGTTGTAGCTGGCAGTGTCAGCTTTCCACTGAAAGTTGAATCACTCGATTCCGTAGCTAAACGAGTGAGCTATGGCGTTTGGCGCACTGGGGGGTAATCTGCCCTAGGAGAAGTTGACAGTCCTCAGAGTCACTATGATTGAAGCTTACAAGATCAGAGGCATGATAGAAAAGGCATTGAAACACAGTTGGAAGGTGGGTGGAGGAAGTGAAGGATGAAAGGGAAGGACCCTGGAGGCCCATGGTCAAGAACATGACGTCAAAGTTTTTGACTCCCCATCCTCAGGTTCAGCCAGCCTGGCAAGACAAATTTCACACTGTGCCAGGTTGGCCTCCAAACCCAAATGCTGCAGCTGCAAGGTGGTGGACAAAAGTCCACAATGCTGGTCCCTCCTCGTTATAGGGCTCTCCAACTTTGGTGTAGCAGCTGACAAGGACTTCCAATGAGTTGTAACAAATCCCATCAAAATTTCTTCGTAACTTCTTCATATGTGCTCCGATTCCAACAATTCTTGGCTCGTTGGAATGTGCTCGATGTCATGCACAATCCAAGCACATCTGCACAAGCACAAGATGAACATGCAAAGACATGCAAACCAACACAACAACATACAACAACGTAGCACACAAAACACATGCAAACGAAATGATGCGAACAGACGACAGGATGACGTGCAAATGAATATGCACCAACACACTCCCCTCAGACTGTCGGCTTGTTTCGCCGTCTCTAGTTCAAGGACATTCCCGCCATCCTCGCACAGCGCCAGTGTGGCTCTTCAGCTAGCCGCTTGTAAGGAAGTCGGCTGGCTGTTGCTGAGTTTTCACGTAGATCGGATCCAGTGTCCCAAGCTTCACCTCCTTCCGCAGCCAATGCACACATGATCCTCATGTGCTTGTTCAACCATGAAGAACTGCATTGCGTGCCATGGCAATGGCTCCCTGCTATCACTGAACAGAGTGTCGCACAAGTCTGTTCATGGCGCGATCTCCTTTCAAGAGCCTCCTTGCCAGAGATGATTTCTTTTGCCGCATGAAACATCGCCA